ATACGTGGAAATATACGATTTCTAGGTCATTCGTACTGACCATCTGGACCTGCTCACAGGGCACTTCAGTTATGGTCAGCCTTACGATTCTAACTCATTAACCCCACATTTTTCATCCGAGGGTATGTCCTCTCTCTCACTTTCCCTCTTAGTTAGCTGTGGCTGGCTGTCAGGTTCCCAGGTGTCCACTAGTTATTATTCCCACTGCCTTCTTCGCCTTAGGTTAGTGGTCCCGCGAGGCCAACATCCATCCTCAAACTCAGAGGTACTACGCCCCTCGGGCCAAATCATAGTTAGTCGCCTCGCATTATGGCATTGAGAGGGCCTCATCTGTCATGCCCATTCTATCTTATATTTAACTGTCACCGAGAGGCCAACGTTCAGTGGCCACGTTATCCTCTCGCGCCAACGCATAGCCTCTCAAGCCGCTTGGCACAAAAGCAGGGTCTCACCTGTCACCAACCTAGAGTAATCGTTTCACCACATTGCGGCACTAGCTAGTCAGCCAGCGCAGACACACACACACAATAGTATTAAGTTGGGGGGCGGCCGTCTGCAGACCCCGTCATGCATACTCACTAATTCAGATCCGATACTCAGTTCAGGTAACCTAGCGGATTTCCCTCCTCATCATAACTTTAGTTTCGATTGTTCATTTATATACCCCTTACAGTAACACAAACAGTAGGTCAGAACTATCATACAAGGCCAATCTATGCTTTCAATACTTCAATCACTTACGGGCTAAGTGTACACAAGATAATTAGATATAGCAATACAAGGACGATACCCAAATACATATATTTCCCCAATTTGTCATTCACTTGGTAATCCTATTGTAACACATACACTAGGTGCCCGTGTCAATTTAGTAGAAACCAAGATCACCGGTCTCCTCCAATATTTGTTTCAGGTATTTTATTCCTTACATATATTTTCAGTTAACACGTATATTGGGCTTCACGCTGCCTTTTACGTTTACACATTGTTTGTATCGGACCATCGTTAGGTCCTCAATACGCATACATATAGTGACTGCTTCCAGTTTTATTCATTACAGAATATACTAGTTATTACTTGGCGACACATTAGAGGCATTTCAGTACGTTGAGTTATAGATTACCAGACCTTGACTCATACTATCGCTTAATTATCACGTCAATTATATAATACAATGTAGGTTAAAGCATTAGCAAGTCTAATTAAAAACGGGGTAAACCAGAATCCCACTTGTTTCATATCAAACATTGAGGCATCACTTGGTCTTAATTACGACCAAACGAATACATTTCAATTCCTTAACAGCTAATAGGGACTCTGCACGCTTGACATTCGCAAGGTTCTCCATGCGCGTTCAATCATTCGTTATGCTATTTAATATTACATACGCTTCACTATGTTATTTACGTTTCAAAAAGTCCATCAGGATTAACTTTCGGTCATGCTATCTGTTTCTGTCTAAGAAGTTACACCTATAGGCATCTTATAATACAGACCATTACGATCCCAAGCCTATCAAATAAACGGTCACAAGGGTAGCTATTATACGACATATATCATCTTTAAGTTTAAACCTTACTCAAAGCTCCTTTTCAGATTCTTATCTTAAGAGCACACATATTTTCCCTACTATTAGTCACTGTATTTTCATTCTAGTTTCACATCACATCCGGTAGTTTAGTCAAATCCCTTTTCCAGTCCTTTTTCTCTATCTATCCACTTTGCTCATGCATATACGGTTATGTTAACGCTCACACACAAAAACAAGCCCTGCCAAGGGTGAGAAGAACTGACCTTAGTCAAATATTGCACAAGGCCAACTACTCACCTCAACAAGGAGGTTCCAACGGCCCAACTCAGAGCTAGTGCCTCGCCGAGTCTTCTGCGGGGTCTTAGGTAGGGCCTCACATATCACGGCCACAAGTATCGTCTCTTTTACCGCCACCAAGAGGTCAGCACCCGCTGACCCTTTTAGTAGCTACAAGTCCACACGGCCCAAATCAAAGGTAGAGCCTCTCACAGTCACTGGACAAATAGCAGGGACTCATCTCTCACTGGTTAGTCAATATCTTCGCCTGTCAGTACTCGTTAACAAACAAGCTCTACACAAGCGATATTTCAATTGGAATCAAAGTTCTGCATGGTTAAAATATGTATTTTTTTTTCTCTCTCCTTCCTTCCTTACAGGATGCTACAAGTAATAACTCCAGGTGACATTTTATCTTTAACAGACACTCTAACCCTGTCATCCCCGGTCCCCTGCAATATCCCCCGCCCTGACCACTCCTAAACCCCTGAAGTCTGGCCTTGCTGAAAGGTAACGGTTGAGCTTAAAGTACATTCAGTCCAGAGATCCTCTACAAAAAAAAACAAACAAACACTAATCATGCCTTAAGTTAGTTTGATCAATTACGCAGGTACGTTTGTCTACCAATACTAAGGCAACTTACCCTAAAGCTTACGATATATGTGAGACTTGTATATAATTCAATACAAAAGCATTCCAATTGTAAATGGTTGCTCGCACCAATTTTTGCCACTTCTCTTTGAAACTAACCTACAATACAATTGAAACTATACTTACAAGATTTAACATTACACGTAGACAATATACCCAACAGCCCCCAATTGGTTTCTTATTCAGTAAAAGGTGCTAACAGGTGTCAGAGATCAAAAACTCCACAAATCATCCAATTCACCTATCGACAGTAACCTTAGGGGGAGTCTTCAAATTAAAATTAAACGTCCCTTTAATAACCCTACTAACATAGTAATTAAGTCAGCAACTTACTTGGCTTTCTACCATAAGGCCATAAGATAGTATTTTACTGTTGGAAAGAATTCAACCTTCACTCATACGTCAAGAGTTCAGGAATCAACGAACATTACATTATATCTACTACTCATATCAAACGGGTATTTTAAATTGTGCCCGGTTCAAACTTTATACTCATAATCATAGACCAGATTAACCAGGTCCCTAGCTACCCATTACTTTCTCAAATAACATATTTGTTACTTTATTACTCCACCCAGTCTTTAATCCTTCCCTCTATTCGGACCACTCATTTCATACAACAGCAGCCTCTAATGGACATGTTGCGTCAATACATTATTAGAATTATGGCACATTGGATAACAATAAGAACATTCCTAACCCTGGATGGAAATCAAACTTCCTGTCGATAATGTAAATTAACGATTGCTAATTGTGGGAAATTAATCTTGTCATATACTTTTGCCCTCTTTTACAGGCCTAACCTCTTGTCGGTTTCGGCACACCTCAACCGACTTTGGCCTTATCGAACTACATATTTTTAATTGTACGTCCTTTGATTACCCCGTACACAAATAGAAGGCATATGCCTGAAATTGTGGGAGGGGTTATTTTCCTATTTAAACCCCATTAACCCAGCTTACCTATCGTCGCCGTTTGGAAGTTCCCCTCCCACCTCACCCTTTATTTACATCAATATACCAGGTGGGCCCTCTTTTACAGGCCTAACCTCTCGTCGGTTTCGGCACACCTCAACCGACTTTGGCCTTATCGAACTACATATTTTTAATTGTATGTCCTCTGATTACCTCGTACACAAATAAATAAATAAATATTTTTTTTTATTTACCCCTTTAGGACACATGACAAGTGTGACATGTCATGATTCCCTTTTATTCCAGAAGTTTTGTCCTTAAGTGGTTAAATGGGCCTATCCTGTGGGCCTGGGCCTGGAGCTACAGCTCCATCAGCCACTATTATATAGTGTCAGGAAAGCGAGTTTGTTTTCCTGACACTATAGTGATCCTTTAATGTCTGTTATTTTTACGGATGCTATGTCTGTTAATTTTTATTGACGTTATGGCGGTTGATTTTTACTGATGCTATATGTTAGTTGATTTTTACTGATGCTTTGTCAGTTGATTTTTACTGATGCTATGCCGGTTTATTTTTACTGATGCTATGTCGGTTGATTTTCACAGCATTGGTATTATCCTTAGCAGCCACGAGTGATGGGCGAAAAAGGCTAAGTGGAGCAGGTTACTGAAAAAATGCAAAAATTAGGCGTGAAAAACAAGCCAGGGAGCTTGAACATACAGGAAAAATGTATCTATTTTTTCTCAAAACCTGTGGTTTCTTCTAATACTGAGCAGGGTGAGGAGGTAGTAGACGATTTAACTATTGACATCTGTGAAACTGATGTAGTTGCTACATGCAGTTATGATACTTCACTAGCTACCAGTAGTATTGCCAGAGAACCTGAGGCTTCTGAATAAGGTCCTTCGAGTTCAATAGCATTTGATAATCCTGTACAAATAGGAGTGCGCTTTGACCCTGCTGAATGGGTTTTAAATGATTGCACCAGAGACCATGTGGCTAAACATGGAATAATTCAAAATGAGAATCTGGACTTTACACAGTCGAGTAGGCTGTATACTGACCATTCTAGGTTGCTAACTAAACACCTTTTTGAAAAGAAAACTTTAATGGAGAGAAACAAAAAAGGAGCTATTTGGTTTGCTCAAAAGCAAAGGAGTAGTGTTTTGTGCTCCATGTCGTTTGTTTGGTGGCAAATCCCAGTTGGCAGAAAGTGTCTCTAATGACTGGAAAAATGGCATGGCTTGATTAAATGAACACAAGCGTCCAGCTGAACACAAATCCTGCATGCTATCTTTAAAATCAAGAGCATGTACACTGGGGAGAATTGATGAAAGTCTTACCAAGCAACGTTCTGATGAAATTCAATATTTGAGAAATGTTTTTAAAAGAGTTGTTGCTGCAGTTAAGGCACATGGCACTTGAGGACTTGCTTTCAGAGGGAAAGATGACCGTTTTGGCTCCACACACAATGGAAACTACATGATGATGTTCGAATTTCTGTCAGAATTTGACCTATTTATAGCTGAACACATTGCCCATTATGGCAATGCAGGAAAAGGAGTCACATCTTACCTCTCATTCACGACCTGTGAGCAGTTCATTTAGCAAAATATTATTCTATCAGTGTTCATTCAACACCTAATAGCTCCCACACAGATCAGCTGGTCTTCATCTTAAGGTATGTCAAGGAAGGTGGCTTACCGGTTGAGCTCTTTCTAGGTTTTATTCCAAATCCTGGACATAAATCGGAACAACTGGCTGAAGTGGTCCTCACCACTCTTAAGTCATATGATCTTGATATTGCCACCTGTCGTGGTCAATCATATGACAATGCAAGCAATATGTCTGGCCGATATCGAGGATTGCAAGCCAGAATTCTGGATGGAAACAAACTTGCTGTGTATATTCCATGCTCTGCTCACTCTTTAAATCTAGTAGAGAAGCATGCTGCTGGAAGTTGTCCTGAAGCTTGTTCATTCTTTGTTCTCCTACAATACCTTTACATTTATTTTACTGCTTCCACTCACAGATGGGAGATTTTACAAGAACATTTATCATCTGTGCCCAACATTCTAGCGGTAAAGAGATTATCTGACACACAGTGGTCAGCCAGGGAAGATGCCTGTCGAAGCTTAAATCGAAATTGGACTCAAGTAATCCAAGCATTAACAAAAATTAAGGAAAATACCGCAGAGGCACCAGGAACATGCAAGGAAGCTGAAGGTCTTCTGAATAAAATACAACATCTGGAGACTGCCCTTATGAGTGGTTTGTGGGGTACTATCCTGGATAGATTTAGGGCAGTTAGGAAAAAACTCCAAAGCATTGGCATTGATGCAGGAATTGTAGGGGAGCTGTATGAGTCACTGATCCAGTTTGTTCGAGAAACCAGAGACATATTCATGACTTTCGAAGCTGCTGCAATGGAAAAATCAACTGTGAAGGATTATGAGACTAAGAGGAATGGTGTACACGCAAGGAAAAGTTCAGCAACTTCCAGCAAGACACAGGCAGAGGAAGCCCAAGAAAATGTACACAATAACAACTTTTATTTTATTTGTGACAACTTTGTTGATGAACTTATGAGAAGAAAAACAGCATATGAATCTTTATTTGTAAAGTTTAAATTCATTACTGATCTTTCAAAAATATCATAGCATGCAAATAGCCTTTGTTTTTCTTTCAGCAAAGACTTGGAACAGGAGTGTTTTGTTGATGAATGCCTCCACTTTCGTTTATATCTCATAAGTTATTCTGCAGAAGATACCTCTGTTCTGGCGATATCCCAAATGATAAGAGAGAGAGGATTGCAAAGCATTTATTTAAATGTGGGCATTGCTCTCAGAATGTTTTTGTGTACTGCAGCAACTAACTGCTCAGCTAAGCGTTCCTTCTCGACTTTCTCGACATTGAAGCTCGTGAAGAACTACTTGCGATCCAGAATGTGAGAGGAAAGATTGAACTCCCTGGCAGTGTTGGCAATAGAGTCTGAACTCACAAAATCTTTGGACAATGATGAGCTTATCAACAGCTTTGCCACAGAGAGTTCGTCGAAAGCCACTTTAGTTTACAAGTATGATTTAGATCTAATAGTCCAATATTTAACAGTTTGAAGTGGCGTACTAAGGGGGGAGGGGGGAGATGGGATCCACCCTTGGTGCCATCAGGTAGGGGGGTGCCACCAGGGCTGGCCCGGCTTGGGTTTCTGTGAGCTGTGTGGCTGCACAGGTTGGCATAGCAGCAGGGGCACAGAGCAGCTGACACAGCTGACACACGAGGGGCTGGGAGCAGAAGAACAGCACGGAGAGTTGGGGGTGGGACCGAAATGACAGTGGGGGTGGAGCCAAGTCATATGTGGGGGCGGAGCTAAATGAAGCCTCTTACTGCTGCACACAGAGGGGAAACAGGAAAGAGTCCCTGCTTCCCTAACTCCAACACACCAGGGACTGAATCCACTCCTCCTCCAGCCCAAGCTGACTGTAAGTGAAAGAGAGTGTGTGCTATGTGTAACTGTGATTGTGACTGTCTTTGACTGTGTGTGTGTGACTGTCTGTGATTGTGTGTGTGTGTGTGTGTGTGTGTGACTGTCTGCCTGAGATTGTGTGTGTGACTGTGTGTGTGTGCATGTGTATGTATGACTGTGTTTGTGTATGTGTGACTGTCTGCCTGTGTGACTGTCTACCTGAGACGGCCTGTGTGACTGTCTGCCTGTAATGGTGTGACTGTGTGTGAGTGACTATGTGTGTGGGACTGTGTGTATCTGACTGTGTCTGACAGTCTTCGCCCTGAAGTGAGCCGGCAGCCGTGATATAGTGTAATCGCGGCCTCTGCGTCATTACAGGGCGTGCGAGGGTCCTGTGCAGGAAGAGCACAGAGGTCCCAGCAGCAACCACTGACCACCAGGGACTGAGGATTTGCACCAGCCCTTCTAGAGCAAGGTAGGGAGCCTGGGTGGACCTCTTAATTATTAAATGTGTGTATGTATGTAATGTTTGTGTGTATGTGATTGTGTGTCTGTGATTGTATGTGTGTGGATCTGTGATTGTGTTTGTGTATATCTGTGATTGTGTGTATCTCTGTGGTTAAGTGTGTGTTGTGATTATGTGTGTTTATGTATGTGATTGTGTGTGTGGGTCTGTGATTGTGTATGTGGTTATGTGGGTTTATATCTTTGATTGTGCGTGTATATATATATATATATATGTAAAGAGGCTACAATACCTTGCACTCAAGCTGCAAAAAATGTTCTTAGCCGGGTGCACTACCAGGGTTCCAAAATAGATGGCAGAAAGTAGATGGCTGCTCTCCAATGACTTTCATCAGGATCATAAATGTGTGCAAATAAAGAAAGTGTTTATATATGATGTGTAAAATAGTGGAAAGACTTACCCCAGGTGTTCAGAGTTGAAAACCGGCGTTCTGCCGATCCCAGTGCGCATGCGTGACTAAGCTCCGTCCCCAGTGATGACGTCATGACCCAGTGATCATGCAGAGCACATTTAATTAGTGCTCAACCCCCTCCCTCCGTTTTGACTGTGGTATATAATGTGCCCCCCCCCCCCATATATTGTTTCTAGAGTCGCCACGATGTCTGCATGTGTGTCAATGTGTTTCTATGTATCTGCGTGTGTATATGTATCTACCTGTGTCAGTGTGTGTGTATGTGTATATGTGCATACATCTCAAAACCTCACCAACACTAAACACAAATGCACTCATGCATTTCAAATGCAACACTACAGTTCTAAATACATTTAAAATGTTTTTGGATGATTTTTACCTTTTTTTATTTGGGGGGTAGGAATGCCAAAAAATAGGACCCGCCCCGGGTGCCAAATGTTCTAGGTACGCCCCTGACAGTTTGCACTTAAGTTAGACATATTTACAGTTTTATTTATTGTATTCAACAAGTTGCATTTCAGTTTAATATATTGATATATTTAATTAAAGTTATTAAAAACCTCATCATGTCAGTTTCATGATGGATTGATTGATGGAAGTAAACGGTGTGTGATAGTCTGTGCTATGGCTAAAGTAGTATAAAAGACTGGATGTGTTGATTTGTACAGTGGCATTGTCTTGTATGAATGACACAAATGGTATATGCATGTGCAGTAACAGCTGTTGAAGCTTTGGTGTGCTGTTACTGCTCATGTGGACTGACCACGTGCTAATTCAAACAGTTTGAGTGTCGATGATCAATATAGTATAGTTGACCTGGATGACTGATCTTTGTAAAGTGGTTGAATTTACAATTTTTATTATTTAATGTAAAGATTATCTTAAAATAATAGATGCAACATTTGAAATGGTACACAAAATAACAAAACATTGGCCCTTGTTATTCACTTTTAAATACAGTAAGGAAGATGTGAAGTTTTAAGAGGAAAGGGTGGAGTATAAAGAGGAAGGGGTGTGGTTTACACAGGCTTAAACTCCTTCACTGTGTTAAAGGTTATTCCATGCATCCACTACCCCTCTCAGTAAAGTAATACTTCCTGATATTATTTTAAAAACCTTTGCCACTCTAATTTAAGACTATGTCCTCTCGTTGTGGTAGTTTTTCTTCTTTTAAATATATGGGGGGAACTTCAATTAACAGCAGGGGCCCGCAGAAGTTCGTGCAGGCCCCTTACTGAGTGCAGGCTGGCTGGGGAGCTTGGCGAACTCCCCAGTTGCTATTACATTCTGCACCACGGACGGGCTATACTCACAGTCAGCAGACCTTTGTAGCACACTGAGAGACAGCCCAGGGGCCTTATCAAAGACCCTCAGGCTGCCTCTCACTGTGCCTGTCTCGGCTGAAATAAAAAAATCGGCAGAGGCTCCAGGAGCAGAGCACTCCATGCAGGCTGCCTGTAACTGATCAGAGCAGCCTGTGCAGAGCTGCTTTATCAGTGTTTCTGGCAGCCTGCCCGCAATTCCATGGCCGGCCAAGGAGGGAGCTCTTCTAGACACTCACATGGCAAGATGGAGGTTGGACTCTCTGCACCACTGTGGGTAAGGATTACCTACTTGAACTTCCTTTTTAGGGAGGGGGGATACATTATTGCTCACGGTGCCTAGAGAGATATCAGCTATGATTCACTGATGATGCCTAACAAGGCTGAAACGATCGTCTGGGGTTGCTGTATCTCTCGTTCAGAGAGAACTTGCTGGCATTTCGGATCTGGACTGACCGTATGGGTGGGACCAGTCTGATATGCTTCAGATATGTTCTCTCTGTAATGGCACAAGATGAGCTAAAACCAGCTTGAGTTCTGAGCGGGGACCCACCGAAGGGCAGGCTATTTCAGCTGCTGTCCGTTCTCAGAATACTCTTGCGACCCGTTTTTTGCACTACATTATTTTAACCTATCCATCCATTCCCCTTTATTCACCAAGCCCCAACACACACTACAACCCCTATCACTCCCTAACATACTTCAACCTCTACACACTACACCCCCTCCACACACTATAACCCCTATCACTCCCTAACACACTTCAACACCTATACACTACAACCCTTATCACCCCACTGGCGGATCCAGGGGGGGGGGGCAACAGGGCAATTGCCCCCCCCGAGAAATCCGCCGGTCTCCCTCTCCCTCCCCTGCCAGGACATGCAGGTGCTAGCCCTGCAATGTGCCTGCGGACCGGAGGGAGATCAGAGCTCTCCCTCCCCGGTCCGCAGGCACTGTGCTGACAGCCGGCAGGGGAGGGAGAGTGAGGACCCGGAGCTCAGGCTGCAGCTCCTCCGGGTCCTCCTCTCAAGATTTGAAGCGTTGTCGCGGTTACCACGGCAACGCTCCAAATCTCGCGAGAGTGAACTCTAGCCCTGGAGCGCGGGCTAGAGATCACTCTCCCCACTGGGACCACCAATGAATCCCCACCGGACCACCAGGCACCAAGAAATGTCCCCCCTCCACCCCAGTAAAGGTAAGAAGGGAGGGGGGACATAGAATATTTATTTTTATTAAATAAAAAAAAAAAATTAAATAAAAAAATATTATACTATAAAAAAAAAAAGCCACCCTACCCTGATCACACACACACACACGCATATAGCCCCCATACTGCC